TTAACTCGATACCAGAACTTTTTCTAATAATAATCTTGTTAATATTGCCGATTAGCTAATTGATAACATTATCAATGCATATGTGTCAGTTCTGTACTTTAGCAAGGACATATAACAGATTAAATGATATTTAATACACTAAAAATTGGTAAAAATAAATTATTTAAATAAACTGCTCAGATTTTTCTTAAAGATTTTGTACCTTAGTAAATATTAAAAGAAGAGAGAGAGAATCCGCTTATATGGTTTTCTCATATCTTAAACCAAAAAATCATATCCCGTTTTTATGCTATATAAATCTGAAGCACCTTATATGCATAGAATTATAGAACTCAATAGATTTCAATAATTTGACTTATTTAAAGTTACAAATAAATATCTCTTTCACCACTTCCTACATATATTTTCGTGCATTCGAACAATCCTTATTAATATTTTCAAATTAGATTTAAGTAGTCTTAGTTTAAAGATTAATATATTTATTATAGTTTTTCGGTATCGCTCATTAGATGGCCAGCGTTTCAATTTTTCATAGCTCTCTTTCTCGGTTTTAAAAATAACTGTTGTATAAAGCTTTATCAATATAAATAATTTATAAATAAATTAAATGGTTAATTTATTCATACATTTATACAAAAATACTAACTACAAGTCTCCTACACCCAACAATAGCTCATATCTAAAAGACATTGAGAATATTTATAACAATTTTTTTCACAACAAAATAAAATAAAATAAAAAAAAAAGAATAATTATTTTACTTGCTGTTGTGGCTTTTACAAGATGTTTTTGTTGGCAGACCCAATGGCGTCATTTTATGTAAATTCAGAAAAGTATTTTGTTACCAAACACAAAGACTTACATTGTTTTGCTCCACTGTGCATGTCATATTCACCACATTTGCAACTTACAATGTTGTTTTACAAAATCCATTAAAACTTTCAGTTTTAATAATTTTAATATTTAATAATAATTTTCAAATAAAAAAAAAAAAAATACGAAAATTTTTCTCTTGGGCGACACATGTTTACGTGCGAAATATGCGCAACATCTGCTGCAGATCATTGGTACATGTTTTCGCCACTACTGTAGTTTTTCTATTACGATTGTACGATTGTGCGATTGTTGGTGCCAACAGCAGCTACTGTTGTAATGTTGCTGCTTAAATAGCAAATTGCGTTATTTTGTTAGCCAATTTTCTCAGTGTTCAGTGTTGCTGGCATCAGCGTTTGTGCGGACTGCGCGTTGGAGTCATTTTAAAATTTTCTCATAGTTTTCAGTTTCCGTTGAAATGTTGATTATATTTAATTGACACGATAGAAGCTGTTTTAAGCTCATTTCATTTCGTTCGTAGTCGATGACAAATATTAGCCATTTAATGTCTCCCCTTATAAGGAACGTCAAACAGCGACATTTCACACGCACTGTTTACAATAACAAAAAGAGAAAAAAAGCTAAAAAAATGCAAACATTAATTTGACGCATTTTCACTACTTGCTGATTTACTTGATGAATAATGAGAAAAATATGCAGTCCCTTTTTGTTTAGTTATATATGTATCTTAAAGACATATACATATTAAAATCATTTTTTATTTTTTTTAATTTTTTTTATAAGAATACTAAATTTATTTAACAGACGTAGGATTATTATTTCGTTAAGATAATGATTCATGAGAAGTTAACAATTAATCACTTCTACATTTTCTGGCTTGATTTCTCCTATAAGACTTCGAAAACAAAATATGTATATATTATATTATATTGGTTTCTTTCTTTTTAAAAGAATACATTTATTACATGTTAAGTCAAAATAATAAGCACAAATCAGACGGAGACTCTTTACGCACAGAAGTATTTCGAACCAAAGTGACTTTTGGAAAATTTTCAATACAATCAATATATCCTTTCTCTTCCTTGACATCATAATGGCAAGAAATTGGTGCAATCGGGAAAAATCTTTTTAGTTTAGAGCTAATGATTTATAAAATGAAAATCAAAATCAAATTTTTAAAAAAAGTTTACTGCACATTTGTTCATTTGCAATGAATAACAACACATTATACGCAAAAGGTGTCTTGCAATTCCTTGCAATCTTGCTATACCTAAACCCATGTATGTGGGCTATGCTTGCAACTAAACAAAAAGGAGAAAAAACAGCTGTTTTGATATTGCTTTTCATGTGGATATGGTAAACTTCAATTTTGATGTTGCAAATCTGCAACAGAAATCGTACTCTTGCAATTTTAGTATAACATTCTTGTATTTCGTGCACTTTGCAAGATAGAGTGATTACCTCTCATATAAAAGAATGAAAGTAATAGAACTGCAGTGAAACCTCTATTAACAAGGCAGTATAATAAAACAATATAAACAGTCATCAGTTTTCACTTAACTAAGCTTTCACAGTACTGTAATAATTCAAATCATTGCCAAAGATATGTCCCGAACATGATATCTATTGTTGTAACATTTAAAAAAGTCTCCTAATCCAAACTTTTATGTTATTAATAAACTTTTTCAATATCATTTTCTTAAAACTTCCAAACCAGATAAAGAATAATATATCAGATATAAGATACCAGTAAATTTCATATTTGAAGACCGATGGTTAGCAAATATATTGTATATGAAATCTATATATCTTAGTTTATATATACTCGTATTTATGTTAAAATGCTTTCTAGAAGAATAAGGGCTTTGGCTAGAATGATCGAAAATTTTACAAAAACACCATCAATCTTTTAAAGCTAAATATAAAAACTTTTATGACATTAGACAAAAACATATTTAAAATAGTGAAGTAGTATAAAACTTAAGCTTGAAAAACCCTTTTTAAGATATTGAGAATTTCTTAACTAAAAAAACTTCTCAGTCGTACTTTTCAGTATCTCTGTTAGCATTGAAAATGAGTCTCCTTCTTCTACATGAATTCTATGGTTTTATAAACTATAAACTATATAATTTACAATTTATAAATATCACTCCTGAAAACCTGAATATGCTACTTTTTTATACATTATTGTGTTAATTAAATATACAAATCTAAACCACAGTGTTTACGTGTTGCATGTTTCTGGGTTACTATGTATCATACCTGCGTTGTATTCCAAATCATCAATTAATATCGTACATTGAATTTTTCATTGACATATATATGCATATCCATAGCCATATATATAAGCAACATATATTGTATAATAAAAATATATAAAACAAATATCCAGCATATATAAATATGTTTACAGAATAATGGGTCATCGTAATCATTAGCTCAGGACAAACAGTTACATTATCTCAAGCATGTTGATTGGAATTATATATTTATAAAAAAAAGAAAGAAAAAAATTTAATAGATAACATAACTGCATTGAAGAGTAGAAATAATTATCAGTTTCAGTTTATGGTTTTTTTTTACTTGATTCAAAACTAATCAATGCATTTCTTATGAATATTTTTAAATGAAAACATAAACTAATTGAAAAAAAGTTGAAAGAACTGGAATATTGATAATTTTTAACCTAGTGCATGATTGACCAGATTACGTGCTTCGAAATGGTTCACTATAAAAATTTTATTCACTTCATTTTTATAGCAAATCAATTATTTTAAAGTAATAAAAAAATTTAATATAAATTAAATTACAGACATAAACTAAATATCAACTTCAGTCTTTATAGTGTAAAATTGAAGACACTTCAAAAGTTTATTCGATTACGATTACGAGTGCGTACAAAAAGTAAACAAACTAATTTAAAATGACACTGACAGTTGCCAATTGAGAATCGTAGTCGAAAGTGCAGTCGAAGTAGAAAAAAACAAATAAAAATAAATAATTTTAAATTTGAAAATGAGAACAAATTGTGAATATATTCATTTGCTAAGACAAAAAATGGGGTTCTATTATTTAGTTATTAAGGAGCACTGAAAGTTCATTGAACTTGAACATTTACTTATAGTATGTATCGTTAGTTTTTGCATGGAGTTAAGTACACCCGAAGAAGAAGTATGGATTGTACATTTATACGAATATGAAATATTTTTACTAAAAATATTAAAATATTTCATCCAAAATCCGATATAATTTCTAAAATGTTCTTTATTTCTTATATATTTTTTAATATGTCTGTATATTTGTTTTGTTTTAAAAATTTTTTCTTGTAAGTAATCACATCCCATTTTAATTAAAAACAAATTTAAAAAAACTATTGTTAGGACCATCATATCAACATTGGCTGTTACCAATGTTTTACTTTTCTTCAACTCTGGTCGGTTTAATAATTATTTTAAATTCAAATATATATCAAAAACAATCTAATCCATAATTTTTTTCAAAATATAAGTTGATTATCCGCATCTGTGCTATATGCAGATTATACAATATTATATAGTTTATTATTATATTATACAGATTATTATATTACACAGTTTTATATATTTGTTATCTCTATCTATCTGTCTGAATTTAATGTAACATCAAAAAACTTCTCTGTAGATTCAAGCTTTATCTTTATCTTATCTAAATCTTCTTTATCTTTGTCATGCGAAATCATTATAACTGTCATGCTATCTCATTATTTTAATTAAAGCCCTTTGACAAATTAAACATATACTTTTCACACCATTTGTATAAGTCTTGACTTCCATTATTATTGAAACAATTTCATCCACCCAATTGATAATTTGGA